AAAAACGAAAATTTTACTCTGATTTTTCAAAGCTAGTAGTAAGGCGGGGTGTGACAGGAATGGTGCCCCGATGGACAAGAGGACCCGGCGGAGGCTACAATAGGTTCCACAGTGCCCGACTTGCAGACGACTTCACCGCGGCGAGTGTCTCTTCGGCCACGATATATGCTATTACTGTCATGAGCCCGGACACTTTGCTAACCGTTGTCCGAAGAAGGCACAGCAGCCTCAGCAGCCACAGCAGCAGCAGCAGCCCCGTCAGCAGGCACAGAGGCCACCCCAGCAGCAGCAGCAGAGGGGCAGACAGTAGGCCCGAGTTTACGCAGTCGATCAGGTCGAGGCCGAGCAGCAGCCAGGTACTATGTCAGGAATGATCATGCTTAATAATGTTCCTGTGTTTGCTTTGTTCGATACTGGAGCGACGCACTCCTTTATTTCACGACGATGTCTTGATGCAATCGGAGTTCATGCCATTACCGCTGTCGATCCTCTCGAGGTTAGTCTAGCCTCAGGACGAAAGATAGTGACTTCAGCTAAAGCTTCAGATCTCAACCTTTCCATCGGTGGTCGTTCATTGTCTACCGACGCGTATGTTCTCGAGATGAGAGACTTTAACCTCATTCTCGGAATGGATTGGCTATCCTATTATCATGCAAATATCCGATGTCATGACCGGGAGATTACTCTCTATCTTTCGGGAGACGATTCGATTACCTTCTTTAGCACCAGGAATCGTTCATTACCTCATGTCGTTTCGATGGCGAAAGCCACCAAGTTGCTGCGACGAGGCAACTGTCAGGGTTATCTGGTGAGCCTTGTCGACGATTCTCAGAAAGCACGATCACCTCACGATGTTCCAGTTGTTCGTGAGTTTGTGGACGTCTTCCCAGACGAGCTTCCAGGAGGACCGCCTAACCGGCATGTGGAGTTCTCTATCGACCTCATTTCAGGAGCCGGCCTAGTATCCAAAGCCCCGTATCGTATGGCGCCGAAAAAGTTGCATGAGCTTAAGGCGCAGATTCAGGAGCTTTTGCGACTCGGTTTTATCCGACCGAGCGTGTCACCTTGGGGAGCACCCGTTCTCTTTGTCAAGAAGAAGGACGGATCCATGCGCATGTGTATCGACTACCGGGATCTTAACCGATTGACGATCAAGAACAAGTATCCGCTTCCCAGGATCAGCGACTTATTCGATCAGCTGAGGGGAGCCTGTGTATTCTCAAAGATTGATTTACGATCAGGCTACCACCAGCTGAAGATTAAGGAGTCAAATATTGCTAAGACCGCTTTCAGGACTCGTTACGGCCATTACGAGTTCGTCATCACGCCATTTGGCCTCAGTAATGCTCCAGCGGTTTTCATGGACCTGATGAACCATATTTTCCATCCCTACCTCGATCAGTTTGTTATTGTCTTTATTGACGATATTCTTATCTACTCGAAGAGCCAGAAGGAGCACGAGGAGCATCTGAGGGTGGATCTCGAAACCCTCAGACGAGAAAAGTTATATGCCAAATTCTCCAAATGCGAGTTCTGGCTCCAGCGAGTAGCTTTTCTGGGTCATGTGATTACTCAGGCAGGTATCGAGGTGGATCCTTCTAAGGTCTCAGCTGTTCAGAATTGGTCGACACTGAAGAGTCCGTCCGAGGTTCGCAGTTTTCTCGGTTTAGCTGGCTACTATCGCAGGTTCATCGAGGGCTTTTCTAAGATTGCCCTCCCACTATCCCAGCTGACGAGGAAGTCTGTGAAGTTCGAGGATCGTTGTTAGGCGAGCTTTCAGGAGCTCAAGAGGAAATTAACTTCAGCCCCGGTGTTGACTATTCCTGATCCTTCTCGGAGTTTCACCATTTTCAGTGATGCTTCGAAGCAGGGACTGGGATGTGTACTCATGCAGGACGGCCAGGTCGTTGCCTATGCGTCACGCCAGCTTAAACCACACGAACAGAACTACCCGACACACGACTTGGAGTTAGCCGCAATTGTCCATGCTCTCAAGATCTGGTGACATTATCTTTACAGCGGTCGTTGCGAGATTTTCACAGATCATAAGAGCCTGCAGTACATTTTCACACAGAAGGAGCTTAACATGAGACAGCGTCGTTGGCTCGAGCTCGTCAAAGATTACGATTGCTCGATTCAGTATCATCCGAGAAAGGCGAACGTCGTTGCTGACGCCCTAAGCCAAAAAGTGAGGGGTGACTTGACGTACGTCGTTACTCAGTAGAGTCCGCTGATTCAGAAGTTCGCCCGGATGCAGATTCAGGCGGTCGATGCACTTCCCACAGCCATTTCAGGGAGTGTCAGTGCTAGTATCAATGCCATGCAGATTCAGCCGACGCTGAGAGAGAGAATCCGGCGGGAGCAGGCTTCTGATGAGTTCATTCGAGTCATGGAGACCAAAGTCCGCGCCGGAGGCATCGAGGGTTTTTAGTTAGGTTCAGACAGAGCCTTAGAGTTCAAAGGCAGGATCGTGGTCCAGAAAGTCGAGGCGTTGCGGAAGGAGATATTGTCAGAGGCTCATACCGCACCATATTTAGCCCATCCCGGGAGCGCGAAGATGTATCATGACCTGAAAGGGTCGTTTTGGTGCCGAGGGATGAAGAAAGACGTTGTCGAGTTCGTCAGGAGATGTTTTACCTGTCAGCAAGTTAAAGCCGAACATCAGAGTCCGATCGGCCTCCTGCAACCACTGTCGATTCCGAGGTGGAAGTGGGAAGAAGTCACGATGGATTTCGTCACGGGATTGCCGAGGTCGACTGAACATCACGATGCTATTTGGGTCGTGGTCGACAGATTGACTAAGGTCGCGCATTTCTTACCCATTTCGATGAAGATGTCTGTGGATAAGTTGGCTGAAATATATACTCGTGGGATTATCCGACTCCACAGAGTGCCCGTTACTGTCGTATCAGACAGATATCCCAGATTCGTCAGTAGATTCTGGCATAGTTTACACGAGGCGATGGGCACGAAGCTAGAGTTCAGTTCAGCCTACTATCCGGAGACAGATGGTCAGTCCGAGCGGACCATTCAGACGCTTGAGGATATGCTTCGTGCTTTGG